AACTGAGTAAGTCGTATTCAATTGAAAGTTCATGTTAGTTCCACAGATAATTCAGGTGATATCGCTTCACGAAGACTTTTCCCAGGAGAACTTATTAACAATGTTCAATGGTGGGTGGGGCCTTCATGGCTAAAGTCGTCAAAACACAGTTGGCCAGTTTCATCTTATGAAAATAATGCAGTTTCCCTGGAAGAAGAAAAAAATAGTGGTTCTTTCTTTGTCTCTTTTGATGCCTTGGACTTAGTTCTACAAAAATATTCTTCTCTCGCAATAATTAAACGTATCATTGCCTATTGCCTTCGTTTTATAAATAATGTTCTATTTTCTGATTCCAAATTATATGGTCCTCTACATACGTGAGATACATAATTCATTTTTTCTTTTGAATTTTTGATTTGCCTTTCCAAATGTTTGCGGTGTTTTCGAACAAATCCACATTCTGTTCAACCCATTATGGGAGACCTACCGCCAACACGTGTAAAGTGTAAACCAAATTAAACCATTTCAGTGTATGGGAGTTGACTATGCTGGTGCAATTTTCATTATGTTAGGCAAGTCCCGCGGAGTAAAATCACAAAAGGCGTACTTGTGCTTGTTTCTATGCTTTGCAACCAAGGCAGTTTATTTAGAATTTGCTTCAGACTTGTCTACAGAATGTTTTCTTGCTGCTTTACATCGATTTATTGCCCGTCCAAGTCGTTGCACACAAATATACACGGATTGTGTTAGTAATTTCGTTGGTTCTCAGAAAAAACTCTCAAAGTACATGCAATGTGCTGCAGAACAAGAACAAATTCAATGGTCCTTTAATTCACTCTCTGCACCTAACTTTGGAGGTATTTGGGAAGCAAACATTAAAAGTGCAAAGCCTCATTTAATTAGAGTCGTAGGGGAATAAATATTAACATACGAATAGTTTTACATTGTTCAAACTCAGATAGAAGCTATTTTAAGCTCTAGGCCTCTGTGCCGTTTAAGTTCAGATCCAAATGACCTTTCCGTTCTAACACCAGGTCATTTTTTAACACTAGAGCCTTTAACTGCTTTACCAGATCCAGACCTGTCACATTTATCTCTTAACCGTCTTAGTCGTTGGCAACTATTGCAACGTATGTATTTCGATTTTTGGCGGCGTTGGTACTCCGAGTACCTACATGCGTTGCAACAGCGTAATAAGTGGAACAAATCGGCAGTTAAAATTGAACCGTGTTCTTATAAAAATTGAAAATTCACCTCCCTTACAATGGATGTTGGGACAAGTAGAGAACCTTCACCCTGGTGCTGATGGAATAGCTCGAGTAACTACCGTTAACAAAACGAGGTTTAATGCAAAGACCATTAGTAAAACTTTGTCCTCTTCCTCAACAATAAATGTTATTTCTTGCTATATACATATTTTTTTTATACAATTTTTCCTTTGATATTTATAAGTATCCATTTTTTTATACATTTTGGTGGGCGGTTATGTTGCAACTTCACCGCAAAATTGTTACTATATTTACATTCATTTTAAAATATATAAAATGCATTTTTTTTCTTTCCTGTGTTGCAACAAGATTGGTTGTTTATTTTTAACTCATTTAAATATTCAAATATCCTTTACATATTTTTTTGTTGGAAATGGTTTTTTGTGAATCAGCTTATTCTATAAGCAGTAAGACTTGACATAAAGATGAGTGCGTGCGTATCCGGACTGACTTCCTACTCCACCTGCATTTTTTAAAGAAACCGCTATCAAATTTAAGATACCCAGAAGGGCCCTTAAGAAGAGAATAAGTTACAACAATGATAAGCCATTTCCAATCATCTTTTTTTTCTATAACCTTTAGGCAGTCATACAGTCCACTACTTTTAAATAACCATACCGTTAGGTATAACAATTATAAAAGATTTTATATTTGTAAGTCAAAATTAGAAAAATTATTGACATTATTCAAAATAATTCCACTTAATTGTCATGCCATAATACAATCATCTTTAAAAGTTTTATTGGTAACCGATACGTCAGAACAGTTTACAAAAATAAAACAGTTTTTACGTTACAGCAATGCACACGTTTATGAAAAAAAAAAAAAAATTTCTACTAAGCAAATCACTGTGAAGTATTGGCTGAATTTAATCTATATCTATACTAATATTATAAAGAGGAAAGATTTGTATTTTTGTATGTTGTATGTTATGTTTGTTACAAATAAACTCAAAAACTACTGGACGGATTTCGATAATTCTTTCACCATTAGAATGCTACATTATCCCTGAGTAACATGGGCTATATTTTTTATATCCCAAAATGTTTAAAATAAATGTCCACCCGTGAAAGGAAGGCGTTTTTATAAATTGGAAGAAATTGGCAGCAGTATGAAAGAAGCTTTAGAAAGCATTTCGTCACTGATACAGCTGTGAACAACAAAAAAAGTTTTGGTACTAAAACATTTAAAGGGTTTAAAGAAGTTTAGGTTGAAAACTTTTTTTATAGCTTACAGCTGTACATGACTATACCAGGAGAGTACAGTACACAAGCTCTAAGATGAGGAAAAAGAATTCGATATTTATATGTTCTACTTAGTTTAAGGGTTTAATGTGAATTAAGAGCTACCAGCCATCATATTACTAGTCAACGGTTTCATCAATTCTTTATTATTCTCCACATTTCAAGAATTTTTGCCTTACTTTCTTAGAGCTCATATTTTGAACATAATTAAACACATTCACATATGACATACTATGTAACACATTTACTGTGAACAGTTTACAAATTTCATTGTTATACTTCATTACGGCTGCCCCGTCGTGCTCGAAAAATCGCGTGTGTTTTAAAGACCTTAAGGAGGTTTATCCGGTACGGAGGTACGTCTAAAGTCCAACGAAAGTTTCTGTAGATTCGCTAGTGACTAAAGTAGTAAGCCTTTAGATTTAGATATCTGCGAATTTCAAATAATATGCTACGTAGAGACCGCGGCATTGCCGCTATCACGCATATGGAGGATAAGTTAGTCAACGACATCAGTTTGAAGGCGAATTATTATAAATTGTGTGTTGTTACAAGTACCTAATCGACTTCTACAAGCTGTCATACGGTTCCTTAGATATCGTTTTCCTATTTATACAAGTTGCTGTGGAAACTGTTCGTCAATTGTTGCGCATTCTAAGTGGAAAGACCAAAAATATCTGTATTCTCATAAGACTCTGTACTAGATCGTGAAAAATTATTTTATTAATATCTCGTCTCAGGTATCCAAACTAGTCTAAATTTTTTTTGAGGATTTTCTTCATATTAATAAGATTATATTAATTTTTTATGAATATTTGGTCGTCAATTCCTAATCAGATAAACCTCCTTAATATCCACTTATACTTTAATATACTTTTTTATATAAAGTGTCCCGTTGTATCGTTATGTTCCAATTTTGGGAGCATAAAGTACACTTCTTTTCAAGTAAAAAAAAAAAAACGCAAAACTTGTATATCCATGTTTATTTGTTTCAAAGGTACACACACACCTATGAATTATTGGCAGATAGATAATAAATAATAAAAATTCGTTCTTAAAGTAAATAAAAAATTATTTTATTTAAGAAAAGGTCAATTAATATTTTAAAAATGCCCACCTCCTTGTTGAATGCAGGCTTGTGCCGGTAAATCAACAGATGACATAATTATCCATATTTGGCACTTGTTTTGTTGTATTTGTAAGGCAACCTATTGCATACACTCCAATAATTTTTCTCTTGTATTTGAAACATGCGTATAGACTAAATCTTTCATGTACCTCTCATAAATAAAATCAAGGGGAGTGTAATCGGGTGATCTAGGTGGCCAGGCAACAGACCACCTCGACCAATCCATCTTGGTAATTGATGGTGGTAACCCAATTTCGGACAGCAATTCTGAAATGTGATGGCGCCCCATCCATTTGAAACCACATGTGTAGGCGAACATTCAGTGGGACATCCTCTAAAAATCCTTACAGTTCGTCAATAAGAAATTGAAGGTAATTGTCCGCATTTAATCTCACAGGAAGAACGACAGGACCAATCAATAAGTCATTGATTAAGGCAGCCTAAACGTTAACAGAGAATTCATGTTGAAACTTAGATGTATGTATAGCTTTGGGATTTTCTGATGCAGGTTTCTCAGATTTATAACACCACTCCTTGTGATTGTAGCTTCATCTGTCCAGAGAACTGTTCTACAGAAATGAAAATTAAGCTGTGACTGTCTTAATATCTAGGTAGAATAAACTAGATGAGCATAGTGGTCTGCCTCAAGCAAACCTTGCCCCTTACGATAATGATACGGATGTAAGCTTTCATGTTTTAAAATTCGCCAAACAGTCATTCGTGGCACTCCAAGTTGTCTAGAGATTCGACGTACACTGATAGTTGGATCCCTTGCAACAGTATCTAATAGTTGTTGATCCAAGTCTGCCGGTAAATTCACTGCCCGGTCGAATGAGGAATGCACCTTTTTGGAAACTTATGTCGGTATTCGATAACTGCTTGATGTGCACTGCCGTTACAGTAACCATGCACAAAATGCATCTCTGTATATTCTTGAGAAGAAAATTGAAAAGGTATTTTGACAAAGAAAACGTTTGCACTCAATAAGAAGTTGCTGTCTGCACTAAAACTTATGACCATTATGTGTCACTGTAAATAATTCTTAATTCAACAAAGCAACCTTCACAGTAATCTGAATAATTTGTTTATTTCTACAGTTTGTTTACTTTATGGTTCAGAAAGAAATAACAGCCTTGTTTATCATAAACCCTTTTAGTTTTTGTTTGTGATCTCCAAAAAAATATAGTAGTTTTGATTTACTTTATGAATTCATTTTTATTATCTTCAAAATAATACATAGGCGTGTACCTCTGAAACAAATAAACGTGGCTCTACAAGTTTTGAGTTTTTTTTACTTGAAAAGTAGTGTACTTTACGCTCCTAAAATTTAAACATAACAATAAGGGACACCTTGTATGTATGTGGCAAAAAAATACTAACCTGATCAGTATGTTCATTGAATGTATGTACACATTGTTTAGATTTAACGTCCCATACTTTGACTGTTTTATCGCTACTACCAGAGACAAAATATTTACCATCCGGAGAAAATGCAACACTCAATACCCAAGATGCATGACCAGAAAGTGTCCCAACAACATGCGTGTGTTGCCTAAAATGAAATTCATATACAGTGTGTCTACGGATTACTAGTCACGGGAAACCTTTATTTTCAATTTTTTTTTTGTGAGGGGGAAGCGAAAGGTGGAGATTCTAATAACAGCAGTACATTATTAAATATGTTCATAAGCTGGAGTAAGTGGTATTTTCTATAAGCAATTATCTACCTTAGCAAAAAAACTAAACGTCAGCTCATACCAGGTGATCCATAATTGTAAAAGACAGAAAACTTAGTGCTGAAATACGACTTACTGGAATTTAGCTCTGCCTGTTTGTGAAAGAAAATGTACTATAATTTCAAATTCATAAAAATTTATAGGCCATGAAAATTTAGAGGTGTCTGATTATTGTCGTTTCTGTATTAGTTTAGTATAGCAAAGCTATATTTACAGGGTATGAAGGTTTTACAAAGTGTTAACTTTCGTAGCAGGGGTAATAGTATAAATTGCAAAAAATATTTTTTTAATTACAATTTAAAAAAAAAAAAGTGAAGTTTAAGTCTTATTAGCCTAAAATCCCCCCAAATACTTGACTGTCCGTAACTTATATGTGTAGTAGAAAATTAAAATCTATTTTTCTCAGAAACTAGGTATTTTAGGGATATGAAATAATTTTATCTTTTAATAGTAAATAAAGTAATGTTTAAAAAATACATGCATTTTCTGAACAAAAAAAAATTGCAAAAAATAGACAGTTTAATGTGTGATTTTAGGTAAAAAAGCTTATATTCATGTTAGGCTATCCCAACAAGAACTTACATGCCAAGTTCTATTGAAATGCTTTATAAAATGATAGATGTACATAAACAAATTAAACAAGAAAAATTTTATTTTAGATATGTAACTTTTTAAGGAAACATTTTGATATTGAGGTATATTCAGTTAATCACTTTTAATATTTCTAAAAACATTAACTATATGTGACTTTCATAAAAATAATGAAAAAAAAAACAGAATTTAATATTACCAATTACAGCTTTCTGTTTAAAACGATTTTTTTAAAAATACATATAGTAAAAAATAAATAGGTACTACAATATTCATAATTTTTAGGTTTCCTCAAGGAACAGAAATTACTAGAAGAACATACTGAAATTTCAACTTCATTCTTAGTTACTAAATTTTCTTAAACTCGTTTAACATTTATAAACATACAAATATTAAATATTTTTATAAATATATAAATAAAGTTTATGTCATCGCGAAACACGTAAGTTATCTTACATTGACATCTATTGATGTAAGATATCCTTAATAAAATAATCTATTTGTAACCTAGTCCAACTGGGTAATATTCAGTCAGGATTGTATTTATTCCAGAAGGAATAAAATTATCATTATCTATATTATTATGTGAAATGGTAGGTTACAAGCAATCAGCATGAAGATTCTTCTTCTGGTTTCCACTAGATTCTTAAACATGTGCTGTGCACTGTTTAATATTTATTATATTTTATTTTTTAATATTTATTATAAACATGATTTTTATACATACACGAGTATGTATACAATGAAAATAGCTACATTATTGTTTATATTTTTTAGTAAAACAAAGAACTGTTTTTTATTTAACTCGCCCAATGACCACCTGCACTTGAATTAACAATCGTTGATTGTTACTTTTATTGGCCAAATTTACTACTGATGTTGCTGTGGTACTGACCTGAGTACATTATGTACTTATGTAGAAATAAATTATTTATTTCTTTTTGTTTTCTTTAAGGTTTTTTTTTAAATACAAAAACAAACTTTTACAAGCAGTAGTTTAAATAAGTATTTTTATTTTTTGAACTCATTATTTCCCTTCCTTTTAAAAAAAATATTTTCTAGTTAAAAAACTTTTTTTTTCTACTTGAATAGCATTATCATTTGTTAATAATTTTATAGCTACCTAACGTTAAATTTGTTTTTTTTTGTCTTAGTATGGTAGTCTTAGTATAGGATGAATTATTTGTTATTTTTTCAAATGAATTACAATTCAATGCATGGCATGGCAGTAGTTGTTTTCCACAATATCATTAGTCAGAGGCTTGATTAATTACATAGCCCATCACTCTAGGATGTGAGATGGTCTAATCATTATAAGAAGTGAACCAGGACGCTCATAGCTGATCTTTAGTGACCTTTTTAAGATAAAAACTGATGACAGAAATATTTTGAACTATAAAAGCGTTAAAGAATTATTAATTTCGAACTTTAGTGTGTTTCATACATTTATTTACATTTATACAGGGTGTCTCAGAAAGACCTCCCGTAAATACAGGGGGTGATAGTACGTCAAAAAATAAGAATTTTTTCTCTTATAAACTATATGTCGATCTCCTCTTGTTTTCGAGATACAGAGCGACAAAATAAAATTTTTAAGAACGGAAATTGAAGTCCCGTTTCATCTAACAAAGTACTACAATATTCATATAGATGTCGCTACAGGAAATACGTTTATAGTAAAAATGGTACGATTATTTCATTCCTTCAAATTCCGGCAAAACACACCTAAAAAAAAACGAGAAAATGCCAGGTGCACGCACACGTGCACAATGAGTTGTCCGGCCTATACGTCCATCCCATTCTCTTGATGCTATCTCATAATTGCATATGAAAAGAGAAGGGTAATAAAATAATAAAAACTCCAATTTGCGGCCGCCGGTTTTTTGTTCTGAAAATATTTCTATTTTATATCTTCTACATATTATTATGTACATATTTACAAAAAAGGAGGATGGCAAGTGGTTATACAAATTTATAATATTTGCAGCCAACTAAAAGTTTTATTTCGTATTATTTTCTACATTTTAGTACTTATATGGATTCGGACCAGAGTAGGTGCGAATGTAATTATTTCTTGTATGGATCTTAGAGCTGTTATCTTTTATTGTTGCGTTGTGGCTGCGAAATATTTTATTTGTGGAGTTTACTGTTTTTTATATGAAGGAAAAAACATTAACAGAGTAAGTATTACAATTAGCTAGGCATAGTTGTACTTAGTACTAAATTCAAGTAAATAATAGATATTAAAATAAATATGTAGGTATTGTATTTGATTATTTGAAAATAAAAATTACATATGCGACAATGGACTTTCCGCTTACTTAGCCGTAATATAAATATGACATATTGTCGTTGCAATGCACATACAGGCTGTTCCAATAGTGTGACAAAGTTTATAATTATTTTCAGTTATAGTTGTATAGGGCAAAATCTTCAGGCCAAAAACAAGATTTTCTGAACGTTTAATTCGGTCTGAAAATAATGAATAATGGAAATAATAATAAAATGTGAATCCGAGCAAGTAACTTTTTTCGTATCACTACTACAGGCAGTTATACTAAACTTTATCGCACTATTGTGGCACCCTATATATGACTAGATATATCATTATGGTAAATCAAAAGCATAATAGGTAAAAATGTATAATTATCTATGTTTATAACAAATATTATCTGGTAAAATTCTTTTCTTACTTTCAGATACAGAGACAGTTAAATATAACCGGAAGAAGTCTATATGTTATTTCGTAATATACCTATAGTGGTGAAAACAACCCGCTCTATGTAGAACAAATTAAGAAAGATGAAGAATTATGGAAAAAATCAATGGCAACAAATTTGGAACAATTTTATAAAAATTGTATACTACCAGAAATAATATACAAAAATATTCCACAGGGAAAAAGATGTATGGATCCAGAATATATTATAGAAGCTCAAATTAATAAAAAGAAATAATTTTATTTTATGATTTTTTAAATTTTTTCCTGTTCTACTGTACCTATTCTATTTATTTCTTTATTACTTTCATTTATTTACATATTTATTAAACTACACTGTTCCACAGAATTTCTGTTTATATTGGAGGTATTAAAGTACCTACAACTATTTTTTCAAGTGAAGTGAACTGAATACCTATTTCTCATAAAAAAAATTTAGTCTCAAATCGTCCTTTTGTACATAATTCTTTACACATTTTTTGGACAAAATAAGTATATCGTACATATTTTTTATATTTTCTCATTATTATGTATATTCACAATTAAAATTCTATTTATATTAATATGCGAATTTTTTTTATCAAGAATTACTTAATATTAATTATTAAAAATATAATATTTTCCATTTCTGTTTATACCAAAGTAAGCCGCTTTATTCACAAATCGTAATTATAACATAACTTTCCGTTATGAACAACTTTTCTTATTAACATTTTTTTATATTATCAAAAACAAAAGCAGTTTATTCTTCAACGTTATTAATTTTGTTAAATTTCTGATCACCCTGTATATATATAAATTACAGTTTTTCATGACAAACATATTCAATTAAAAAGCAAAATATTTTTTGTCACGAATTACTTTTTCTAGTAGAATAGAAAATAAAAATGTTTTCCCTCTTATCCACTAACCGTAGATACTAATATAGGTATATTAATTATAAATTATGGTTTTAAATAAACTAAAAATTGTTTATATTTCATATTTTCTAAAATTATATAATAGTATGGACTTGCACTGTTACTTATATACTTTTATACAAAAATATATCTAAAATGATCATGACATTCTTTAAATATTTACGTATCAATTAACAGAAACCATGACTACCAATTCAGAATCAGGTTATACCAAATTAACCACATACAACAGCTGTTCGTTAAAAATAACCCGAGTCCATTCATAAATAAATTTTTACTAGTGCGACATCTATTACAAATCAAGCGAATTAAAAGTCGGAGATAATGCTATTCATGAATGAATATTTTTTAATAATTTTATTCCAATATAACTTTTTAAATAATAAAGTGATGAACAAACTATGAAATAAAGTCTAATCAGTTTATTTATTTAAAGACAACTATATAAAAAATTGCATAATTCTATAATACTATGAAGAAATAATCGTTTCTTTGTAAAAGTCCAAAAAACCTTCATATTTAGAAATTAATTTCTCACGAATTATTTACCTATCCCAATTAATGTTTGCTTTACTGTCTTCATTTA